ATACGTAGTGTTGGATTTGAATAAGTCAATCCATTGTACTGTGCTGATGTTTGAAAGCCGTTTGGTTGTGATTTATAAAATTATTTTTTGCAGCCAACCATGAAAGTCATCTAACAATAATTTTTTTCGAAAGTTTTACTTAAGCATGATAGCAAGGAAATTTTTCTGTAAGAAGTAGTTAGGTTCGATGGTTTATTTGGTATAATAATTGGGATAATGGTGGCTATCCGCCAGTTTTGCGGGTTGGATCCTTTGCGGAAAATTGTGTTGTATAGGCAGAGTAGTCTTTCGTTAGCATTTGTAGGTAAGTTTGAAAGCATCGGGTAGGATACCCTATCAATGCCTGGTGTTTTACCTTTAGCATTTTGTAATGCAGACTCTAGTTCGCGGAAAGTAATATCGCACTCTAAGCTTCTTGCTGATGAGGAGAGATTCGTTGGTGTATATGTGGCAGATATCCAACGTTGTTTGTCTGCGAAATATTCTGCAGAAAAATTACTATCTTGCGAATATGTAAACCAAATATTGGCGAAAGTTGCCGCAATATCTGCGGAATTCGTCAGAATATTTTGATTTGTATTAATAAAATTAATACGGCTGTGAGGGATTCCAGTCAAACGTTTAATGTCTGACCATACCTTTTAGGTAGTTAACGCAGGAGAGATTTTGGCAGTGAAGACTTCAAAACTTTTCCTTTCAGCCGTCTTTACAGCTCTTTTAAAGAGGCCGTTTGCTTTTTTATAATTATTCAGATTATTATCAGACATTGATATCTTGAAAGTATTTCAGTATTCATTTTTTTGTCACACATATGACCAAGATCTTTGTTCCACAAAATCGGAAAAACTTTTGAAGACTTGCGTTTGGTTTGAGGAATCGATTTATTTGCCGCAGAACGAATCAGTTTTGTGAATGCAGATGTGGCTTGGTTGATATTGTCGATTGGAGTGGCGGGTAAACTTTTTAAAATTTGTCTTTGAAATATATTCCAGTTTGCGGGTGAAATAATAAATTTGGGAGATGCTTATAGTTTTTAAAGTATAAGTTTGTTTGAAGTAAGATCAATATAGGAAAGTGGTCACTACCTCTGAGAATAGAGGAAGCTTCCCAACTAATTCTGGGGGAGAGCTGGGGAGAGGATAGGGAAAGATCGACGCTCATTAGGGAAGAGTGGGTAGAAAAATGTGTGGGGGCGCCATTTTTAAGAAGAATTAGGTTGCTGTTCAATAAAAAATTCTCTATGATTGCGCCCCTTGTGTTTGATTTTCGGGAACCGCAACGCGTATTCCACGCGTTGAAGTTTCCAGTCCACAAAACCGGTGTGGGTAGTTGGATAAGTAAATCTTTCAAATCGGTTTCGTTAAAAACTTGCTGGGGTGGTAAAATTTAAGTTGATTTTAAGAGCTATTACTGATAGTGTGGAATTTAAATCGATAATTTCATGTGGTATGATTTTTTTTTTAATTAAAATGCAAACGCCTGGCTTAGTGCTTTGGATGTTCTGTTTTTGGATTCGAAAAATAAGCGCTGTATTGCCTAGAACAGGAAATGTTGTTACTGGGAGTAACTGGGATATGTGTTTATTAAATACAAATAACGTTTGGGTTTTGCTCTTTTATGAGAATAAGAGTTCATCATAATTGTTGTTGTACCCGTTTATGTTCCACTAGATGATTTTAAGCAAAAAAAAACATTTTGTTTATCTGTATATAGTATGTTCAGATATCGTAAGTATTAAATTTCATCTTCGAATGTATTTAATACTTGAGTGCTGGAAAGTACTTGAGAAAGTGATGGAAGAGGTCTGAAAGGAAGGGATTGGAATTGACGGAGAGAATGGTGGGTTTGTTTGGTATGGTGAAGTAATTTGAGTGGATGGTTTGTATTGAGAAAGAGGTGGGCTATTATTAGTGGTGAAATCATTACAGCTTGCATTACAGAGAGTCTTGGTGGACTATCAATGTCATTGTATAACCTTACAAGTAACAAAAGAATCAGCTGTTTTCCAAGAATTTTTCACAGCTGAGATCACCTGGTCGAAATCTGCCTTTTTGAGGCACAGAGATGTAATTAAAAGAAATGTGGTAGATAGTAGTTTTATTGAAGGCGTTTGCTAGGAAATATGTTCTAATTCTAATGAATAGGCATTTTATAATATCAGAATTACAACTTTTACAACAATAGTACGGTTTTACGTTAACCATTTTTTCAAATAATATTTGGGAAAACCCGATCCTATGGCAAGTAGAATGTTGTGTATAAATATCTTCGATTTTTAATAGAAAATCTATAAATTCAAGGGGTGGTTTTACTATTTGGCAATTACTATATTGCTTTTCTGAAGTGAAGAAAAAATCTTCTTCAGTAGTACCACCATCAAATCTTGCCAAGGGCATTAAACAATTATGTTGTTTAAAATATTTATAGTACAAATAACCGCAAAAATACATAAAAGCATTTTTATGTAGAAAGCTGCTTTCATCTACGTCCACATTTACCTCGATTTGTATATTTTGAAATGAGGTAGAATTGGCAGGTCTTGGTAAACTTTGAAAAGTTTGCGAGCTTCCATTACTACAAATTTGGAGTCGTCAACTTTTATATCTGGGAGTTCTGGAAAATCCGCAACCGAAACACTTTTACCTCGATAATTTGAGGCTCAGGGGCCATTTTGCACGAGAAACACTGATACGCACTTTTTAATAAGATTCTGCGCGCGAACAGAAAGAAAAAAGTAAGAAAGAACGGATTAAACATATATAAAAGGTCCGAAAAGAAGGAACAGAAAATGTCGAAAAAAAACACTCGAAATGCAAAAGACATGACTTATCGGCACGAGAGCTAGTCGATGACTGATAATGAATATATTAAAAGAGCAATGTGCAAAATTGTGTTTGTAATGGTCAGCTTTTGTTTGTCGCTGATCGATGGCAGCGCGCACAGTTTCTATACAACTTTCGCAGTTCTTATGACTACGAGCGACGAGGGAACTACCACTTCTCTTTCTGTCATAAATTGTAGACTTTTGATTAAAACGATCAGTTATGATAAAATGAAGACAAATTCGTACAATATATGTTATAACCCGCGATCCAAATAGAGGTACTTTTTTCAATAGCTTTTTTTGACAAATCACGAATGGGTTGCGTCAAGCTATCATGTTACCTTTGTTCAGTATTGTTTAGCATTTCATAACGGAAAGACTTACACCTGGAGAACGTTTGCAAATCGGTTAACTTTGTTACGAAAATTCACGTTCTGTATTGAATATGTTTCGGGCACTTTGCGTAACTTATGGTCAAAATAATCGCCCTACAGAGCTTCATCAATTGATTTATGAAGAGAACGCTTTGGTGACCAGATAATTTCACGTTTTGGGGTGGTCAATTGCCCACCAAAATCGGGTGATATCACACTTTTGCATGTGGGGATATGTAAAGTCTGAAGTCTATGCAGAAAATGCCGCTTCGCTTGGAGCAAAACATGACTCGTGTTATTCGCCAGTTACAAGTAAAAATGCACAAGCCATCAAAAATTAGACTCAACAATTGGACCATCTGAGATGTAACTGCGGCTAATATTTCAAAGAGATAATCTTCACAAAATAAATGACAAAGAATGAACTTTCGAATGATCATCAAAAAGTAAAACTAAGTTTCTGTGTTGTTTCTTTAAAAAAGTAGGAAACCTCGAAATGGACCACTTTCTATTTAAACAAACGTTGCTCCCTTAATTGTCTTGTTGAAAGAAATGTAATATTAAACAAAAGTTACTCAATATTTTTCTGAAATTGATTGCGAGAACCTGTAATAAAAATATAATATTATTATTGAATTTTCGATACTGCGATGGTGGCGCAATATACCAGTTCTACTCTAAAACATTTCGATATCACTATTTTTATTTTACTATATGTCACAAATTTCAACCAATATTAATGGCATAATGTTAGGAAGTCGGCAATGACAATATTGGAGCGAGGAGAAGTACTAGATTTTTGATTGTATTAACTTTTCACTTTAGTCAAGTATACTCTAGCGCAGTTTTCAAGCAATATTATAAATATAATTTACATATTGAACTTCATATTCGCACGGACGGATTGCACACCTTTTCGGTATTAACAATAGTATATCCAGTTTCATACTTTCATTTAAATTCATACAACGGTATAAAATCAATTGGAAGTTCGAAAATCTTTATATTGGGTAATTAGCAGAGGTGTTGGTTAGATTTAATCCAGTTTTGATAAAAAGTATTCCACTGGTACTGTTATGATAAAAATATTGTCTTTGAAGTGCAATATGAAACCACTGAGCGCTATTTCTCTAAAAAATAAATCATTGGCACTCAGTGCCTGATACCTTGATAAGTTATGATCCCATTTCAATTTTTTGTGTGAAAAATTAAATTCAGTTTTAATATAATTGTTTACAGTTAGTATTTCTCAACATGACGTTACTTTGGAGGTAGTTAAAACACATTAAGGTATTCGAAATTCAACCGTTTTACTATGCTGATCTTTTGTATATAAGTATGTGCATGGCTTTTTATCTTTCACAATTAGCTTTAGGTGGCACAATCAATCTAAAATATGTTTAAGTTAATCGATGAAAATAAAATTCTATAAAATTAGTTACAGAGAAAATCAATTCAACTTTAATTTAAATTAAAGCAACATCGTTTATAATTTTTAATTTGTTAGAAATCATTTCATTACTAATTTTACATAGTTATTTTAAAAGAATACAATATATATATGTACTTGTATATTTATACTTAGTTAATTACAAACATAATTATATTTTTTCTTTTTTTTACTTTTTATTTAATAATTCTTTTATTCTGCAGTTTATTTTATTTATGTTTTTTTTTCCTTAAGTTCCTTGTGTGCTTATTTAATTTTTTCTGTTTTTGCTTGTTTCTTAATCGCAATACATTTTATATACCACTTGGTGAATACAACCATATATTTATATTCTTCTCTTTTGCGTTTCATTTTCATATAATTCTAGTCGGGTTTCTACAGTTAATTCTCAATTCAGAATTTCTTTTCATAATTTCAATACCCATATTGAATGTGTTTTGTTTTGGGTTTAAATTTCCTAAAATAAAGAACAACGGTACGTATATATATACTAAAGTGATTTCTTCTCATTTCCTCTCATACTGTGACATATTTGCCTAACTGGGAGCCAAAATTATTATCTCTTATTTCAACAATTTTTGTTGATCATGTCCTTGCGAAATAAGGAGCTTTACAATTTTTCATTTACTTCGTACAAGTGAGTTTCAGCTATGGAAGCGTACCTGACCTAAGCCAATCTAACCCGGGCACCAACTAAACAAAATTCACGACTCTGGTTATAAATAAAAAAATATAACATGTTGCAATGAAACAATGAAATTAATTACATATACTAGTTTTCTTATGTGAAAATATAAATATCATATTCTGACAGACTGCTGCACTTATGGGCCGAGTGGTTTGTCATGCAGCCAATACTCGTACCTTTTGTGTCTGTTGTGATTGTTGTGAACAGGCCCCAGCCACATGCGACATAATATTGCCACGAACAGCGTCAGCATTAAACTCAGGCTTCATGTGATCAATATCAGTGGCCACATTGCAACTCACTTAGTTCTTAACGCAGGCAAACTTCCGGTGACTCGTCGTCAATACTTGATATTCTTAAGTGCGTATGCAGAAGACCGAGTTGTTCCAAATTCCACTTAAAGTCTTGCAGCAATGACGATGCCAAAATACCATCGGAATTGCATGACAAATGGAAGAGTTCGGTGAAAACTAAACGGAACGCATTTCAACGAAATGTTTTCCGGATACACTATGAAGGGAGATTCGAGGGGCCCATCGAGATATACCTAAATTTTAGCACTCTGATAGGTGTGATCACCGAAGTGCGCCTTTTTCAGATTCTACCATAGATCGCGCCGTGCCGTTACTTTCGGTTCCAAAATGCATCGCCGCCGTCGCCGGAAATACCAATTCACCATCAGGCGAAGGCTCCCATGTTATGGGACCACATAGAGGACCGTGAGCAAACTCATAAGACGCCTGGAATAATGGACTGGAATTCTTGAGATATAGTAGGACATAATCGCATGTTCACCTTGTACGATAATGTCAAGTCCGCTGAGGATATTACATGCATAGTCCGATGTATGCTGTCGCAGCAGCAGGCGAGATTGTTCTGCAATTTATCTCGCTTCTCTGAAATTACGAGCTTATCGACACGCTTTTCAAAACAACGCGTGCAGGTATAGTTATTGTACGGCACTTATTTGAATGATACATGTAGTTTCGATTACTGTGCGTGCATATAGTCGACGATCAGTCTCGAACTTATATTGTCAGCGTACTAGTGCGTTTAAAGATTAAAGAATTCATTGGTGAGTGTATTTGGACACCCGGATGTTTCCAGGCATACTTTTACATAGCTTCATCGCAGAGCGAATTCGGCACTGAATCGCTGAAGCGTGCACTATTGGAAAAGTCATAATCCGCCCAACAACAAAGCGATGAGTCACAATAGGAGTTTGGTTTCGAAACGAATTGCATGTACAGCGAAGGACTAGTGCTCACGAAAGCTGTAAAGAAAAAAAATACAACATTAGTTGGGATAAGGGAAACGAGAACAAAATGTTGTTAAGAAAGATCTAATTACAGTGTACTCTCTATCGACGCCGCTGATTATGTAGCGGTTTCGATTAGGGGAAATCCTCAAATACTCTTTCGTACCGACTTAACTTAAAAACAAGCAAGGAAGACAGCAACACAAAATCGCAGAAACTAAGCTGCTATTAGTAAGTGGTAACAAGCTAACAATGGGTGATACAGCAAGCTACTTGGGACTCATTGGGTTGGGCCCAATTGGGGACTAACGACTCGGGTAACTGATTGCTTTTACACACTACGTTAAATTATAATTTACGGTATATTGGTATGGTCGGCAATAATGGAAAAGAAGTACGAGTTAACGCGTGTGGAAACCCTCAAAGAGATGCTAGTATATGTATTAATGGAGTCCTAGGGCTATGCCATATCAGACAAGTTTTTTTCTACCGAATTACGCGAGTTTTCCAGATTTTATAGAATTGAATTTAAATTGTAGAGAAGAGTAGCAAAGAAGTGAGGTAAACAGGGACTAAGGACACGCATCTACACGAATGGTTCCGAACTCTATTAGCGACTGGGAGGTGATAATTTTTTTGCAAAATAAGATACTAGAATCGTCTTTTTGCAAGAAAAAACGTTAACTTCGCCTGCAACGAAGGTGCATTCCTTCACAGGTACATTTCTTTTAGTAACTATGTGTTCAGTTTGAATGGAAGCTATATGCTGTAGTAATCCGATCTAAAAAAAATTTTCGGATATTATATTAGACATATATTAGGTTGTCAAAAAAGTCTTGCGGTATTTCTTGCGGTATTTCTTGCGGTATTTTTATTGAATTTTCAATTGTTCATAAAATTTTTTTTGATGACTCATGCCCAGCTCTTGATCGATGCTAAGGCTGCTATGCTACTATGCCGGTCTCTTTCGACCGATTCAGCGATTTTATCGCAATTTTCGACGACAGGCCTTAGGGAGCGTGGCGCATCTTCGACCACCTCTACACTAGAACGAAAACGTTGAAACCATCGTTGTGTGGTGGAAATGGAAACTGTATCGGGTCCATAAACTGCACAAATTTTATTGGGGGCTTGAGATGCATTTTTGCCTTTATCGTAGTAGTACTGTAAAATATGCCGTATTTTCTCTTTATTTTACTCCATGTTTGCGATGCTATAACTCACGAACGACTTAAAAGAAACGACAATCAATCAAACACGTGTTAGCGCGTGAAACGAGCTTTCCAAAAAGGTACCGCAAGACTTTTTGACAACATAATATATATATGAGATTTATACAAGAAGTAAGCCATGTGAAATTTCGTGAAGATACCACGACAAATGCGGAAGTTTTCAATACAAGTTTGGTTTGTATATAAGTTATATGCTATAGTAAGCCGATCTGAACAATCTCCTCCGATATTACGTTAATTCTATGAACAATAACTCATACCAAATTTCGTGAAGATATATTGTCAAATGAGGAAGTTTCCCATGCAAGCATTTGATTCCGATCATCCAGTTTGTCTGGCAGCTTTATTCTATAGTAATCTGATCTGAACAATTTCCTCGCAGATTACATTGTTGCATTAGAGAATAATCTATTCCAAATTTCGTGAATATATTTGCCAAATGATAAAATATTCCATACAAGAATTTGATTCCGATCGTTCAGTTTGTGTGGCAGCTATATCTTATAGTGGTCCGATATCGGCAGTTCCGATATATGAGCAGCTTTTCGAAGAGCAAATGATGTTTGCAAAATTTCAAATAGATATTTTAAAAACTGAGGAACTAGTTCACTTATATACAGACAGACGGCCAGACAGACAGACGAGCATAACTAAATCGACTCAGCTCAACAAACTGATAATTTATATATACACTTTATAGGGTCTCCGACGCTTCCTTCTGAGTGTTACAAACTTCGTAGCAAAGTTAATATACCCTGTTCAGGGTATAAAAATTCTTCTTTTTCTGAAAAGGAGTGTGTGTTTTCAAGTCTTATATAACGTTTTAAATAAAATTAATTTAAACATTTCCTCTTAAAGAGACATGTTGGGAATCATGCCATCGTTGTCGCACTACTTCTAATACAATAATAACGAAATGCAGCAACTGTATCTATCTACATCAAGATAAGCTCAACGTGTCCTTTTCCAATTGGTATGACATCACCTTGTTACTACGCTGAAAAGCTTAAAAATATGCAATTCCGAAATACAGAGCCGAGTATGAAATATGCTAACCGTCCGCATAATTTCCACGTAACACAGCAACAAATAGTATAACGCTGAAAAGCCAGTTAACGGAACCGAACTTTAAAATGTCGAGGATGTGGTAGCGTAGCGCAAGGAGGCTTGAGTGTACGAATTTTTAAAAAATTAAATTGCATAACTTGCATCAAATTTATATTTATGAACCTGTATAAATGCGAGGCGGGAGTTATGTGCTAGAGTTTGGCCACTCAATCCGGTCAGACTCTACTGTGAATTATATAAGGCCCAAAGCCGCTTCTTCTGTTCTAAACAGTAAAGTAAAGGACAGAGTTCGACCACTCAGTGCTGACCCTAAGCTTACGCTCTTGAGCCTACAGGTGTTTGGCAGATGGGCGGTTTACGGGGTCGTATGAAAACACATATGTACATACATACGTAAAATCAGATGTGTATGTATTTGTTGGCTTGCGGTGAGGTGATCCTTTGGCTTTGTTGCACCGTTGTGATTTACGTGAGTACCTGCCTGCCCAACCTCACGGTGCTTTCTATTGCTAGAAGCACGTAGATCAATACAATGAGTGTTGTCTGATTTCTAATTAAAATACTTAAACTGACAGTGTAGTAACCTGCAAAGCTGGCAGACAAGCGGATGAGCATCACTCTCAATGGCACTAAAGAGCGTCATTTAAACCAACAACATAACCTACATATATACAAATTAATGTGGTATTAGTATTTATGCACAATGCTCTGCTGACTAGTGCAACAACTGATTTTCATTGCATTCAACAATAAGAATCATTACGCCGACTGCTGAAAATAGCGATGTGAATCCTTACTACACTCTTAAGCTTTCTCTCTGCTTGAATGGCATTGCGCTGCCAGTCGCGCATACACTCTTCTCTCTCTCTGTACTCTGAATTTCATTGCAAACAGCATTTCATCTGCTCTAGCTTAACTTAATCATTTTATGGTTTAGATTGCTGTGGCATCGAGGTAGGCTTTACTTGTGCCCATCCACACAAATATGGCTGTCGCTTAGTGAAACGCTCGCTTGACTCTAACTTAAAAGGCTATCAAATAATCTTGCTACATTATTAACAACGGTCTGAGACATACTTTTGGTTTTGACAGTGAATTTCTGCGTCCCCTATACGTATACTTTGGCTTGTGGAAAATATATGTTTACATGAAATAAGCGTTGTAGAGGAATGTAGTTTGTTAGAGATCAGGAAAAAAGCATTCCGATTCATAAAACAGCAATCTCAATATAAATATCAAATTTTGCTCAGATATGTTATATTTTGTTTATAAACTTGAGACTCTACACTGCATTTGTAAAACATCCTTTTCTTGAAGTACCAATGTTTCGAAAATTCCATCTGTTCCTTCCCATTAAAAATTATAAAAATAAAAAATTAATTCACAACAAATTAAAAAATTATATTAATATAAAAAAGGTAAGTCCTACTGTATTAGAAATACAGTATTTTTATTCTCTTCGAAAAAAAGCAAACATCGATTGACATTAAAATAACTAAGTAGTAGACCAGGCATCACCAAATCATTCAACGAAAAATTTACATGTTATAATAGTTATAAATAAAAAAAATTTAACGCTTTTAAAATTCAGTACTAACTTCTAGTTGATTTTATCTTTATATTTAAATGCTAATATTAATTGTAACATTTTTTATTATGAGGGAATATTACGCAAGGAACAACGGAAGTTTTGATACCCGAGAAATAAAATTCTCTCAAGCCAAAGTAAACTTTGTAAAAGATTACTTCATAAATCAGTCATATGAATATGTATCATAATGATATCATGTTGCTGTATTATACCTCTATTTGTAAAACTGCCTCCACTCCATGCGATAGAAAAAGATTAAGAAAAAATGAAATGTTTATATACATACATATCTATGAATAGGTTGAAAATATTGCCTTTACGCATGACGTAAGATGTACATATAATTGAAAATTGAGAATTTTTTAACAAAAAAAAAATATGTTGTTACCAATTAAAAAAAGTCAAAGTTTTTTTAATTCCATATACATACTATGTATACACACTGAAATTAATTTTTCAATACTAGCGAAAAATGTACTCTACATCTACAGCATACATACTCGTATTTAACATCATGTCAATACATTTGGCTTATTCAATATTACCCACACGCCTGTTTTACTCAACATAATTATGTTTTTTATTCTGTCTATTTTTGATTCGCTTTAATCAAACACATTACATAATGTGAATTATGAACAGCTACTAGATAGAAGAAGTTAAATATGTACATATGTTTAAACAAAAAAAAAAAGTTCCAAAGTTTTTATACCAACTAAATAACAAATGCTAAAACTCACTGGTAACAATTACAATTTTAATTATACAAAACAGCATAATCGATGATGGTTAAAGGAGCAAAGTTTAGCGAAAACTTAACTAGAAGCAAGAGTTGAAAAGCATTATGAAGATGATCATAAACCCTGCACAAATTTGAGTTTATATGGCAGCTATATACCATAATAGTTCGATAACGGAATATGCTATTAGATACACCGTTAATTGCATGGTAATGTCGCATTGCCTCGCTAGCGCCAAGCAGTCTACTGGACTTCATTAATGGGCTGGGGCTAAGCGAGGCAATGTAAGTAAGGAGAGGGCATAATAGACCAAAGRTCGCAGTGCATTCCTCATCATCATTCATTCATTCATGGTAATGTTTTCTTCCACTTACCTTGGAAAAT